AGTAGCACATTTCACATTAAGAGATTAACAAAGCTGTGTTACTACTGTCTACTGGCCTAATCTTAGAAATAATCAACTTTTATTTTAATAATGCTTCTGAATTCTATGAGTTCTATAGCCCTACTTATATGAAATAACTTCTCTTAATTCCAATCCAATTCCAGATCACACATGGTCAAGTCATAGCAATAAGAGTAGAAGAAACCAGCTATTGTTCCCTACCCATTCCAATACTGTAGAGCTTGTAGCATTGTGGGTGGGAAGGGGGACAAGTTTACAAATAATTATCAAAATGATGAGGTATACAAACAAAAAGCTACATAAAGTCCAAGGAAAGAAAGTTCACGCAAGACTTCATGAAAGAGACAGAATTTGAACTGGCCTCAAAGAAGTAGGATAAAGACGCAGTAAAATGCAGCGGATAGCATGCTAGATCTAAGTCAGGATAACCTAAGTTTAAAACCCAATTCAGACACTTAGTAGCTATGTGACCACAGGAAAGTCATTTGCCTTCTTTGGGTCTTTTTTCCTCATGTGTAAAATGAAGGAATTGGACTCAATGACATCTAAGGTCCCTTCTGGCTCTAAATCTATGTTCTATAATCTATCAGGTTCCATAAGCAAACAAAGGAGAGTATGTGGATTCTGTGAGAGGTTTACTAGGTCAAGGAAGGTACTAATTTAGGGAGAAGAGTAGGAGTACAAGAAAATTAGAGAAAGGAATGGGGATTGGAAAGAAGATAGGGTACATAAGGACAGTTCCTTAGAGGTTATTCTCCTAAGTGGAATGAGCCAGACTACTCCCTAACAGAATCACACAATCACAGAATCATAAATTATTCAAACAAGCACAGATAAGCTACCTCTCAGTCTTCAGAGTATCTTTTTAAAAAGCACTTCCCTTATCCTACACACATACCCAGTGCCCTTTCCTAATGGGTAACCATGAGCTAATCCATTCACCTCCCAGAGGACCTGTTTCTGACCAATATGCTACAATCTATGATGTGACACACACACACCACACACACACACACACACACACACACACACATTTATATGGTATAAAGGATAGAGAGCTGGCTTTAAGGTTAGTAAGATCTAGTTAAAGTTCCACTTCTGATACATAGTGACTGTTTGACCTTAGGCAAGACACTAAGCCTCTAAGTACCCCCAAGCAATTCTCCTTAGAGAGTTAATAAATTACAAAGCAGGTGGGATGTTTCTCCATGGTTAGAAGTTCTCCCATTTGTAATTCCCTATACTAATGAACTCACAGATTTGGTCCAAAAAAATTCAATAATAACAACACTCAAACTATACACTGCATTCAGTTTTTGTAAAAGTGTGAACTTCTTTTTTTTTAAAACTTATTTATTTTTTAGGCAATTGGGGTTAAGTGACTTGTCCAGGGTCACACAGCTAATAAGTGTCAAGTTTTTGGTCTGAGGGCAGATTTGAACTCAGGTCCTCCTGACTTCAGGGCCAGTGCTCTATCCACTGCACCACCTAGCTGCCCCTAAGAGTGTGAACTTTGTAAACTGTAAAGTATTATACAAATATAAAGCAGAGACGCATGGCCCAATAGAAAGAGCACTGGCTCTAAAGTCAAGAAGATTGAGATAGAAATCACCCCTTGCCCCCTAGCTGACTGCTGGTGTGCCCTCACTTGTAAAAGTAAGGAGAGATGGAGGGGGCGGAGCCAAGATCATGGAGTGAAAACAGTGACTTGCTTGAGCTCTCCTCTAAACCCCTCTAAATACTCATTAAAAATGGCTCTAAACAAATTCTAAAGCAGCAGAACCCACAAAAAGACAGAGTGCAACAAATTTCCAGCCCAAGACAACCTGGATGATTGATCAGAAAGGTGTATCGCGCCAGGCTGGGAGCGCAGCACGGCATGGGCGTGCAGGCCGCAGCAAACCTGGAGCAGGCCTCAGAGGACTGAATTGCAGGCAGCTGTGGAGGTTTCCAGACTCCTCAATCCATGAATGCCAAAGACAACTTAGAAGGTCAGTGGGAAAAGTCTGTTTCTGTCGGTGCTGAGACAGGAAGGTGGGGTTTCAGCTCCATTCCCCAAGAGCCTGGCCGAGAGGGGGCAGCTGCTTCCCAAGCTTCCGGCCCACAGACTGAGGGGGAATTCAGTGGCTGATCAGAGAGGGATTGCAGGGATCTCTTTGCCAGTGCTGAGGCAGGAATCTCTTGCTTTGCCCCTGTTTGGATCTGGGTCATAGTTCTGGGCAGTAGTGCTGGGGTGAGGAGGAGTGATGGCATGGTGGAGCTTGTAGTGGCTGTGGAGAGGAACCCCTCCTCACAGTTACGGGACAGAAAGGAATACTTGTGGTCACAGGCCAGGAAAGGAGCAAACACCTCGCCCCTTATCATACCACCTTGCAAGAACTGAAAATTTACAGGACCCTACAAGTATCTCTGAAAACAGCTGTACAAACCCCCCAAAGCTTGGGACAGTACATTCTCCACATTGGAAGCAGACTCTTACCTTAACAAAGAGTTTAAAACTCAAGTAACTGGCTGGGATCATGAGCAAGCAGCACAAAAAGAGTCAGACTATATTTGCTGACAAAGAAGATCAAAATATACAACCAGAAGAAGACAACAAAGTCAAAGCTCCTACATCCAAAGCCTCCAAGAAAAATATGAATCAGTCCCAGGCCTTGGAAGAGCTCAAAAGGGATTTTGAGAAGCAAGTAAGGGAAGTAGAGGAAAAACTGGGAAGAGAAATGAGAGTGATGCAAGAAAATCATGAAAAACAAAGAAGACCCAAAAAAATACTGAAGAAAATGACACCTTAAAAAATAGCCTAACCCAAATGGCAAAAGAGGTCCAAAAAGCCAATGAGGAGAAAATGCCCTAAAAAGAAAATTGGCCAAATGGAAAAGGAAGTCCAAAAGATTACTGAAGAAAATACTTCCTTAAAAATTAGAATAGAGCAATTGGAAGATGGTGACTTTATGAGAAATCACAACACGGTAGAACAAATCCAAAAGAATGAAAAATTAGAAAACAATGTGAAATATCTCATTGGAAAAACAACTGACCTGGAAAATAGATCCAGGAGAGAGAATTTAAAAATTACTGAAAGCTGATCAAAAAAAGAGCCTAGATCATTTTCAAGAAATTATCAAGGAAAACTGCCCTGATATATTAGAACCAGAGGGCAAAATAGAAATTGAAAGAATCCACAGATCTCCTCCTGAAAGAGATCCCCAAAGGAAAACTCCTAGGAATATTGTAGCCAAATTCCAGAGTTCCCAGGTCAAGGAGAAAATATTACAAGCTGCCAGAAGGAAACAGTTCAAGTACTGTGGAAACACAATCAGGATAACACAAGATTTAGCAGCTTCTACATTAAAGGACCACGTGGCATGGAATATAATATTCTGGAGGGCAAAGGAGATAGGATTACAACCAAGAATCACCTACCCAGCAAAACTGAGTATAATCCTTCAGGGGAAAAAATGGTCATTCAGTGAAATAGAGGACTTTCAAGCATTCTTGATGAAAAGACCAGAGCTGAATAGAAAATTTGACTTTCAAATACAGGACTCCAGTGGAACATGAAGAGGTAAACAGGAAAGAGAAATCATAAGAGACTTATTAAGATTGAACTGTTTACATTCCTGCATGGAAAGATGATATTTATAACTCATGAGACCTTTGTCAGTATTAGGGTAGTTGGAGGAAAAAAATTATATGTATGTATATGTAGATAGATAGATAGAGGCACAGGGTGAGTTGAAGATTAAGGGGTCATATCTGGAGAATAAAATTAAGGGATGAGAGAGGATTATACTCGGAGAAGAGAAAGGGAGAGGTAGAATGGGGTAAATTATCTCACAAAAAAAAACAGAAAAGTCTCTTACAGTGGAGGGGAAATGGGGGAAGGTGAGAGGGAATGAGTGAATCTTATTCTCATAGGATTTGGCTTAAGGAGGGAATAACATACACATTCAATTGGGTATGGAAATCTGTCTTACCCTACAGGAAAATAGGGGGAGAAGGGGACAAGAGAGCAGGGGGATGATAGAGAGGAGGGCAGATTGGGAAAGGGGTAATCAGAAGTAAATACTTCTGAGGAGGGACAGGGTCAAAAGAAAGAATAGAATAAATGGGAGGGCAGGATAGGATTAAGGGAAATAGAGTTAGTTTTTCACAACATGTCTACTATGGACGTGTTTTGCATAACTGCACATGTACAACCTATATTGAGTTGCTTGCCTTTTCAATGAGGGTGGGTGGGGAGGGAGTAAGAGAAAATTTGAAACCTAAAGTTTTAAAAAAATATGTTCAAAAAAATGTTTTCACATGCTACTGGGAAATAAGAAATATAGGAAATGGGGTACAGAAGTCTATCCTGCCCTACAGGAAAATAGAAGGGGAAGGGGATGAAAGAAGGGGAGAGAGATAGAAGAGAGGACAGACTAGGGGAAGGGATATTCAGAATGCATGACATCTTGGGGTGGGGGGGGAGATGGGGTGAAAATTTGGAATTCAAAAACTTGTGGGAGTGAATGTTGAAAACTAAAAATAAATTTATATTAAAAAAAAAAGTAAGGAGAGAACTGAGGACTCCTCATTTCTAGATCTATAGTCTTATGATTCCACACACATCCTAGATTATGGTTAAAAGTCTGGTTCAAAGAATTCTTTTGACTATAGAACCAACTGATTATTTCATTTTTATATCTAGAGTAAATTTCTTGTGCTCATTATGCAAAATACACACATACATATACACAAACACATACAAATCAGCCTATTTTTTCGGTCAAAAGCCTGAAAGCCTGATACTTTCTTTGCAAAAGCATCATAGCCTTGGTTGACTGTTGAGAATTTCCTTCACCTATGCAATAAGAAATGAGTTCACTCAATGAGTTCATCTTGACTGGGACCCATTAGTAAATACTAATGTAGGAAAAATACAAATGAAAAGGAAGAAAGTAAAAGCAAAGGGAACAGAATGAGACAGATGTACTCACAGTCTGGGCAGCAGCCATTAAAAGCCATTCGACAAATACCACAATTCTCATCATTGGCAACCCAAAGCCAGGAGGCTACACCATTCCAACACTTAATCTTCACCTTCATGGTGAGGCTGTAGCCTAGGAAGGAGAAAGGGAATTATCTTGAATAGTTTGGAGAGGAAACCAAATGGGGTAGAGGTTAAAGGTGACAATCCATTCCGTGACAAAGGACCTGGGTAAAAACAATAACTAAGTGCATTGATTATGTCTTTGTTTTTGTTCCTCATCTTTGAGATTCATTATCAACATAAATCTAGGCGAACAAGGTACCTTTAAAGGGTAGGAGGCATAGCAATACAAACGGAATGATCTTTTTGCCAAAAAACAGTTTTAGGGCTCACTAGAAATACAGTCATCTCTAGATACTTGGGGGTTTCACATTCTAGCTTTTGGTTATTTGAAGGTTGGCCGTGGATAATTAAATGGGAATTTGCGGAGATTTGCAGTGCACTTTAGAAAACTGTAGATGACTTGTGTATGTAAAGAAAACAAAAAAAATTAGTAAGTCATCAACGCATAAATACTGTGTCGTATTATTAATCTATTTTCTCATTTACTACCATAAGTATATGTACATAAATTTATTGTAAACAGTTAAATTTTGTTAAAAGTTTGCCTAAGCAATGCACTCTTTGGGACCACCTCCTCTTTGTCTCTCTACCATCCAAACTCAGTCACATGATTTTTTTCAGCAGTGATTTTTGTATTTTGCAATTTGTAGAAGGATATTTGTGAAGCAGTTGCTGCAGCTACAAAGTGTGCAAGATACTACTCTCTCATGTAGAAATTGCAATTTTTTTTATAGGTGCAGTGTGTTGTTTTTTGTGTTAAATAAATATAACCTGAACTATTAAAATAAAGATTTGGGGGTGGGACCGAGTTATTCCTGCCTTTTCACATTCTTAGCAGTCCAGCACCCCTAATCCTCAAGAATGTCAAGGGATGACTATACCTTTACCTGCTTGAAGTTCAAAAAACACAAAGTCAAAGGCCTGCCCCAGAGGAGAAGATTCATTTTCCCTGCTCTTTCTTGCTAAGAAACATGCCAGAAATTTCCAATAGGAAGCTTGGAAAGAACCAAACAGGACAAGCAGGGAACAGAAAGCTCCCTATCTATTTGATAGGGGTTTGATACTGTGATGCACTAAGCTTTTCCTAAGGGCTTTTTTGAAAAGCAGAAAAGTTATCAACTGTTTTTAACTTTCACATTTAAAAATATGCTAAACTGGGGTAGCTAGGTATCAGTGCATACAGCACCAACTCTGGAGTCAGGAGGTCTTGAGTTCAAATCTGGATTCAGGCACATAATACTCACTAGCTATGTGACTGGGCAAGTCACTTAACCCCAAATGCCTCACCAAAAAAATCAAATTAAAAATAAAAAAGCTATACAGAAGTCCTGGGAAGCTTTTACATATGTGTGTATGAATATGTGTACATACATACATACACACATCTATGTGTATAGATGAGAGATACACATATATGTATAGCTACATATGTCTATAAACATACAGATACATATATAGTGAAGCAGATCATTACAAGGCATCAAAATAAAAAGGCTGAGGACAAAAGATGGAGGGGAAAAGATTGTTCACCTTCTAAAAGTTTGTATTCTGTTTATATTCACTCCCTTATTTTCCTCCTTCCTGTGAGATAAGATTTGAGGAAAATTTTGTACACTAAAAGAAACAATGACAAAATAATCTTTTAGTATCTTTTAGTAAATAAAAATACAGCAATTGTTCAAAGTTTAATTTTAATTCTCCTCTGTAAAACGGATGTTTCCAAAATCCATTCCCCAAGTATTCTAGATCCCACCACTTCCTGGCATGGGTCCAGAGTCAGAAGACCCAAGTTCCCATTCAAACTTTGCAAAGTATGTGACCCTTGTCTAGCATCTTCACTTCCTAGAGCTTAAGTTTCCTTATCTTTAAAATGGGGGCAGTAACATTTGGACTACTTGCTTCAAAGGCTTGCTAGAGGAAGGCTTCCTGTAAACCTATAAAAAGGCTATATAAAAACAGGAACTCCTAATGAGAGAAGAAAAGTAAGATTTGAGCAGTCTTGTCTTAGATGGGAACATAACCACCACCCCAGTAGAATAAATGCCCCCTGAAAGCAAGGGTGGTTCCATTTTGGTTTTTGTATTCCGAGAATCTAGCATCCAGTAGGTGCTTAATAAAAGCTTCACAGAATCCAACTGAAAACATGAAAAAATACTATGCAACCTAAAGAAATCGTCCCTCCGAGCAGGAGGAGGCCTCTCCTGGGCAGGTGAACTGGGGCACACCTTAGGCCCAAATCGGTTTCCTTCCCTTTCTGGAGTCGCACCTGTCTTGCTCCCCCCACACCTAAAATCACACCAGACTACACAGGCTCACTTGTCCCCGCCCCCCTCCCCAGAATTCCCACCAGATTCAGGCCTCGCACTCAAGGCAAGCCTGAGCAGTCCAAGTCCCCTCCTCCAGCTCCCACTGGAGTCCGAGCCCCTCCCCCTGGAGGTCCCACCAGAATCCCAGCCCCTTCATCTTCGCCCCCTCCCCCTCTGAGTTCCCACTCGAGTCCGCGCCGTCCCGTACGGCCCGCCCCCCGAATTCCGCACTCTTGGGCTCTCGCCCCCCAACAGGACTCTCGCCGTGCTCGCCCCTTCCCCTTCCCCCCCGGCCCCGCTGTTTCCCCCCGGGCTCGCCCCTCCTCCCCGAGGCTGGGGCCCCCTCCCGAGGGAGCCGCCCTTGCTAAGTGTTCACACCTCGGTTCGCGCCTGTCTCCCAGCTCGAGCCCTTCCGTTGGCGCCCTCGTGACGAGTACAAAAGGGACCGCAGGGACCTCGGCGACAGCACTCTGCAGCCGGAGCAGAGAGCTAGGGAGGCAGTCCCGGAGCGCAGTCAGCCCGCCCGACGTCCGCCCGCGCACCCGCTCCCCCGCCCAGCCGCCGCCAGCCGGCACCCAGCGTACTCCCGCCCCAGCTGGGAGGCAGGCCCCGGCTTCCCGGAAGCGCCCTCAACCTTCGGCTGGGAAGGAAGTGACGCGCCGACGTACTGACGCGCGGGGTTCGTGCCGAGGCCCCGATTCCGCGCCCGCCATGGCCGACAAGATGGACATGTCCCTGGACGACATCATTAAACTCAACCGGAGCCAGCGGGGCGGACGCGGCGGGGGCCGGGGCCGAGGCCGGGCCGGGGCCCAGGGCGGCCGCGGCGGCGGGGGCGCGCAGGCGGCAGCCCGCGTGAGCCGGGGCGGGGGGCCCATCCGGAATAGGCCGGCCATGGCCCGCGGAGGCGCCGGGGGCGGCGGCAGGAACCGACCCGCGCCCTACAGCCGAGTGAGTGAGCGAGCCCGGGGAGAGGGGGAGGCCGGGCCGGGACCAAGCGGGCCAGGCGGGCAGCTTCGAGGCCGGGGGAGCTGAGTCCTGTGAGGCCGGGGCGGTGTGTGGGGGCGTGGGGGGTGAGGGGGATGGCGGGGCTGACCCACGACCGAGGGATCCCCGGCCCACCCATCCCCCGAGGCCTTTTGTTTCTCGTGGGCCGCCGAGGTCCAAGGCCTGGAGCCTCATGGCGACCCTGCGGGCGGGAACTACGGCCTGCTTGTGGGGGCGGGAAGGCGACCGCCTCCCCTTGTTGCTGGGGGCGGAGGGAGCGGGAAGGGGTCTCAGGAAAAGGAGAACCCGCCAGGCCCCGGCCGGGGGGGGGGGACGACTCACCAACCTTTGTATTTGTTTCAGCCAAAACAGCTTCCAGATAAGTGGCAACACGACCTGTTCGACAGCGGCTTTGGAGGCGGGGCTGGCGTCGAGACCGGTGGCAAATTGCTGGTCTCCAATCTGGATTTTGGGGTCTCAGATGCGGATATTCAGGTAAGGAGTTTGGAGACTTCCGCTTAAGCGACCCATGTCGGGAGCCAAGTGCACAGCCTGGATTATGCTGTTTGGGGTTCGACCCTCTAGCTCCACCTACCACCCCCTCCCTCTTTCTGGGAAGGTGGCCTCCCACCCCCTTATCTGGCCCTGGGGGTGACTTATCCTCATCTTTCTGTAGGAAAGGCTGTGGCCATCAGTTGATGTTTTTGCAGTGGCTTAAAGTTCAGGGTACAGTAAGGAGTGTGGGATTGGCCTGTGCTGAGCTATGGGGGACTTGTTTAGTCGGTATCTTTTGCTTCCAAGGTAGGCAGGCTTCTTAACTTCTGGTCAGAGTTAACCTTGTTCCAGGAAGCAAAAATGGTTAAGTTGAGCCTGGACAGTTTTTTAGGTAATTTATTTTTGTGCTGAAAATGCTGGGTTTGTTGAGAGAGGAGGCATAACTTCTCTCAGGTGGAAAGAGCAGAGGCAGTGTTATTTTCGTTTGTTGCAGCCTTGTAACCTTGTTTGGTCTTAGTCAAAATATGTTCAGTGTTAATTCTTCAGTTACCGATATGTTCTTCTGCAAAGCACCTGTTTTTGGATTGTCAAAAAACAGTACTCTTTAAAAAACAACCGACCCGAAAAAAACCCCGTCTTTCTTGTTAAGAAACTCCTTCCCTGGAGTAAAACTTTGGAGATTGGAAATGGTTGGGACAGGATGCTAGGTTTTCCTGGGTCAAACTTCCTAGAGCCCAGCCATATGGCTTTGCTGTGGGAGGACAGAGCAAGGCAGACAAGCACTCATGGTGTGTCAACACTTTTTTTAAGGTGGTTTCTGGCATCCACTGGAAACCGCTTTTGGTGAACTCCACTTCCCGCTGTGTGCCTGCGGCCGGAGTATCCCCACACTCTGGGTTCCCTCTCCAACTCCCAGCCTGCCGTGAGGTCAGGGCAGTTTCCATGGCAGCGCTTGACGTCAGACTTTGCGGCAGGCTTGAGTAGGAGGAGAGGGAAACGCAGGTGAGCCAGAATCTGCCTTGTGGGGGTGGGTCTGGGATCAGGTCTACTGAATCTATGGGCCCTTAAATCTGTTCTAGTGGCCTGAAAAGCTTCCCTTGCTCTGTGACCTGGAGATTTTCCTAATTTCTCAGAACACTCTTTTGTTAAGAGTGGTTTTTCTTATCTGTGAAAAGACAGCTGATGAATATTATACCCCTCACCACTGGGCAAAGCACTCTATGGCCCATAGCATCATACAGATGGCATGCCCCAAAGTTGGCACGACCTGGGACAGGCCCCGCTGCTTTTCAAGTTGCTGTTCCGCTCTTCCACCCTCTATCCCCTAGATGTGTGTTCCCTTTCAGGAACACAACTCCTAATATAAATATTTCTAGGGTCCTCTTCCTTGGACACTATGGGAGAGAGGCGTATTTATCATTTTGCCTTCCTTTCCTATTTTTAGGAACTATTTGCTGAATTTGGAACTCTGAAAAAGGCAGCTGTACATTACGATCGGTCTGGCCGGAGCTTAGGAACAGCAGATGTTCACTTTGAGCGAAAAGCAGATGCTCTGAAGGCCATGAAACAGTATAATGGTGTCCCTTTGGATGGTAAGTTGAGCCTTCCATCATTGAAGGGCTGGGTGCTACGTTTTGTGGAGTGTGGGGCTGTCATCTGCCCATGTAGGAATATGATTTGCCCACTCTGGCCGAGCACACTTTGCATTTGCCCGCTTTGTCTCTCTCTTCCGTTCTGCCACCTTTCGTGCTGCCCCATACATCTGGACCAACCTCTTGTGACCCCCTCCTTCAGATCCCTTCCTGAAGATTCACTTCTGTGAGGCCTTCCCAGAACCACCATAGTACACCTCAAAGAGCGGGGCTATAATGATAAAGAAAAAGGTACTGGATCTTTTTTCCACTAGGTCAGCCAGGCGTATTTCCCTCTTCCAACCCATATCCACCAAAGAAAAAGTTATTGAATATTTACCCAGTTTTAACTTTGTCAAAGAGGAGGTTGGTGGTTTCTCTATTGCCATTTGTCGTTCTCAAATGTTTTCCATTCTTTTCCCATGTTTGTATGTAGAATGAGACAACAAGGTACCCATCCAGTATTATTTGCATGGAGCCTAGAACATTGCTAGTACCATATAATTGTTCTGTAGAAAAGTGATTGATGTTTCTTTCCTCTTCCTCTCCTGCAGGTCGCCCTATGAATATTCAGCTTGTTACATCACAGATTGATACACAACGAAGACCTGCACAGAGGTTAGTTTTTGGCTTCCTGGAATCCATCAGGGCTATATAATCTTTTTGGGAGCCTTTTTAGGCATGTCTAAGTGAACACTATTCCTTTTAATTTTGTATTTAGTGTAAATAGAGGTGGAATGACTAGAAACCGTGGCTCTGGGGGTTTTGGTGGTGGAGGCAGCACCCGGAGAGGCACTCGTGGAGCAATAGAGGACGAGGCAGAGGGACTGGAAGAAATTCGAAACAACAGCTTTCCGCAGAAGAACTAGATGCACAATTGGATGCTTATAATGCCAGGGTAAGTACAGGGGTAGAAATGTGTGGGGTGGTGAGTGGCTCCAGAACTGTGCTGCGAATAGCCTCTTTCCAGCAACCCGCATCTGTTAGGGACAGAGCAAGTCAGATTGTTGAGGTGAGGCATTCTCAGTCTTATCTGAGATACCTTTTGCTGTGTGTTAAGATTCTTTCTTACAGTGCTTGTCTATTTTTTTTTCTTTCAGATGGATACCAGTTAAAGTAGCCAACATATTCCCTGCATGGAACAGGACCCAGGAATCTCATTCTTTACCCTTTCGATGGAGGGCGGAGTAGAGGACTGTGGCTCTGCTGTCAATGATGGATTTGTTTCTTTTATGTTTCGAAATAGGATTTAAAACTCATGTAAAGGTTTTTTTTTTAATTCTGAAACAGACCTGTTTTGTACCAAGTTATTTTTGGGATAAATTTTACTGGTTGCTGTTGTGGAGAAGGTGGCGTTTTCACCTTTGCCATAATAAAATGGAAATGTGTGTAGAAGTGGAACTGTTTGCTTCATCCCACTGCTAGTGGGCTGTGTACGTGGCACAGAACTTTCATGTCCGAGTTGGTATGTTGCTGAGTAGACTGGATGAATAGCTCCCATTGGGATTGCTATTTGGTCTTACCATACCATGCCATTCAAAAAAATGAATCGTATTTTGAGAACCCTATTCCTGGCCCGCCTGTGTACAGTAGGGTCTCATGTTTTTAGAGGTAAAGTTCAAAAGGATAGATTGGTTATGAAAAATGATTATAAATTTATTCATCATGAGACAGTGTTAAACTTTTATGTAGATGAAAGAGGTTACTCATCAACATTTGGAACTATGAAAGGTTTCTGAAATTTGATTTTTCACTTTTTGAAAAAATTTTGCAACAATACTGGTTTTCCTTGTGGTCTCTTTATGCTTTTTGGGACAAGGAATTAGGGGATAGTTAACTAATTTCTTGGGCACAGAGCATAATACCTCCATATCTGGAAAGCTGGTAGTCTACAGTAGGCAGGATGACAAGCTAACATTTGTTTATTCTCCTTTGAACAGGATCATTTCTGATCCCAAGCCAAAACTGCCTAGTTTGTTAACAATGCTGTACCAGTGTGCCCTGTATTTCTATTGAAAAATTAGTAGCCCATTTCTCAGATTACCTGCCTCTTCCCTTTCCTAATATTTTTAAAGTAAACTCAAAATGCTCCCTGGCACCCCTGTTCAGAGGGAGTGTTTTTTTTTGTGTACTAGTAATATAACTGAATCTTAAATTGCTTCACCCTTGTGCTTTGTGGTTCACTGGAATATTCAAAAGAGAAAAAAATATTTCTTGCTTACTCAGGAATTATTTATAAAATGCATGGAATTTATCAGAGTGAGCTGGGCTGGTAAACCTCAGCTGACCAATGTTGTGAATTGAGTTAAGGATTTAAGGATGTCAGGCTACTTTTACAGGTACTCCATGTATACCAGAGGCCTTTCACCAAGCAGAACTGTACCAGTGTCCTATGGATAAGAAGCAGGTGGAAAGTCCGTCTGGCCCAAAGGACAAGAGTGCCCAAAAAGTCTCAGTGGCATGACTCAAGCTGCCATGAGTCATGCTTAAAGTAGGAAACTTGGCTAAATGGATGGCCCTCTTAAAGTTAGATACACAGCTAATTATCATGAGGTCTGTGGCCTCCCTTTAGTAGCTTTTCTTTCTTCCTATGGGAACTGGTACAGAATGTGGAAGTTTTGTGACTACCAAACAACTCAAAATAGAAGTTCTTTGAGGCCCTGAAGCTCCACTTTCAAGATCTTGGATAACAGCGGGCTAGTAGCTAATTGTTAGGAACCCAAAGAGAGAGGCTAAGGCTAAGCTACCACCAACCCTAGCTCTGTTGTCTCTTGGCCTATGGCTAGGATTGAGCAACTTGTATGATCCCTGAGTGATAAGGAATATAATGGAGATAAATGTAGTCTTAAGACTTGGGTTAAAAAAAAAATTGATTTCACAAGCGAACGATAAAGGCATGTACAGACTTTGATTTGGAAAAAATTTTTTAATGGATTGCAGACTGTCTCAGCCAAAAAAATCTTATCCTGGGCTGGGGTAAGAGGCATAGGTTCCAGAGAAAAGGTTATAGTTGCTTTGCACTCAACATTAGTCAGACTGTGTTCAGTATATTGTGTCAAGTTCTGGGTGCCACAGTTTAGGGAAGATGTTGAAAAGCTAGGAGACATAGAAAGGGCAAATGGATTAATGAAGGTACTAGAGATACTTTGCTTGAAGAGAATTGGGCAACCCGAGAGCTGTCTTAAAGTGCTTCAAATGCTATCCTGTAAAGAGGTGTTAGATTTGTTCTGATTGTTACCAGAGGGCAGAACTCTAGAACCAGTAAGTAGGAATTCTGAAGTGGCAAAATTTAGGCAGAATGCAAGGGAAACTTCCTAACCATTGGAGTTTTTAAAAAATGGAATGGACTTCACCCTTATCACAGCTACTCAAACATAGCCTGGTTCGGTTCTATAGTGGGGATTATTTTTTTGCTATACATTTAACAAGACAGCCACTGAGCTCTTTTCCTCATGACAACCTGAGAGGTAGATGAAGCAAATATTATTAACCATTTTGCAGTTGGGAATCAAAAGCTTAGACAGGTTCAGTGTCTTGGCCTGAGATCTCACAGCTGAGTTAGTAGTGGATAGAGTTGAAACTGGACCCCAGGTCCTCTGACTGAGAGTCTGCTGTTGTTTTCACTCTGTTCATTACTTCTGTAAGATAAAATATTTCGTTCTCCAAGTGATTTACCTGTAGAGTTACTGGGAAAATGGGAATTATAAAAATGGATGGATAGGCTGTTGCCTCAGATACGGTCATAAGAGAGTTTACCTTAGAAAACAAATAAACCAAGAAAAACCTTTCTCTACATTTATTGTGTGTTTGTAGGCAGAATGGTTAATAGAATGAGAACAGCAGAGATAGAATATTTGAACACTTGGAAGCATTATGTCACAATGAATAAACGCTATTCTTGGCCCAGAGGTGCATAGTATGGGGTCTCTGTGTATTTAGAGGAAAGGATCAAAAGGCAGATCAGTTAATGAAAGATTATTGTAAATTTATTATTCAATATGTGATCAGAGGCAGGCCAAGGAGGGGGTTCTATTTCCTAAACATGTTTAAAGAAATACTCAAATAGGACAGCTATTTAATAGAGAAAATGAAACAACTGAATGACTGAGTGCCCACTGGCTTCAGAAGTTTTATAGGAATTATCACAGGAAATAGAGGATCAAAAAAGATATCTTGGGGCTAGGGTAGTATTCAAGCACAGGGCACTTCTTACATTTTCATTGCCCATTTCTTGATGCATTTCAATCTTAACAACCATTTATATTATCAGTCACTTGCTATGTGCAATATACAAATTAAGTGTTCAGTGATGTTGGTTGTCATTTATCCTTACTGCATAGAATAGCACAAAATTCTTGCACCTTTATTTTGAATTTTTTAATCTTATATTCATTGAATTAAAAATAAAAAGGTTATATACATCACTGTCATTTCCAGGTATATTATTCAGCTTTCCTACCCAGTGAACAAAAATTGTAACAAAGATATTAAAAGACAGAAGAAAAAAGTAAACAGTAAAATCAGTAAACAAAATCATACTATAAGCAACACTCCATATCCATAGTTCCCTACCTCTGTACAGAACGGAGAGAGGTAGGTGCAGTTCTGGTCATCAGAATTACAGTGTTGTTTCAACTTTTTACTATTTCCATATCAAATAAGAAAATATTTGTAAAGCACTTAGCACCAATGCCTGGCATATAGTAAGTACTACATAAATGCTTATTATCTTTCCATTTATGTTGTACTCATTGTGTATGTTGTATTCCTGGTTCTGCTTACTTCACCTTGCATCAACTCAAATTTTCCTATGCTGCTCTGAATTCTTCACATTTGTAGTTTCTTATACTACAATACTATTCTATTACACTCATCAACTACAATTTGTTTAGCCGTTTAATCAATAGGTAACCACCTTGCTTCAGTTTTTTTGTTACCACAAAAAGTAGTACTATGAATATTGTGTGTGTGTGTGTGTGTGTGTGTGTGTGTGTGTCTGTGTCTGTGTGTGTCTGTGTCTGTGTTTCTGTGTGTGTGAACTTTCTGTGTTTGACCTGCTTAGGATATATGCTTAACAAAAGGTATGGGCATTTTAGTTACTTTTCTTGAACAATGCCAAATTGCTTTCCTGAATGGTTGAACCAATTCACAGCTTTACCAACAGTGTATTAGTGTTCCTGGCTTTCTCCAGCCCTTCAAATATCAACTGTTTCCATCTGTTGTCATCTTTTTTGCCAATTTGCTGGTATGAGGTAAAAACTCAAGAGTTGTTTTGAGTTAGATTTTTCTTATTTTTAGTGATTTGGAGCGTTTTATATGTTTGCTAACAGTTAACAATTCTTTTGAAAACTTTTTGTTTATATTTGACTACTTATCCATTAAGGAATGATTTTTGGTCATCTTTATGTTAATTTACCATATATCTTGCATTTCAGACCCTTATCAGAGATAATTTTATGCACATTTTTTTTCATCTAATCAGCCCTTTTCCTTATGCTGGTTGCATTGATTTTGTTTGTAGAAGTTTGTTTAATTTCATGTAATTAACATTTTAAATCTTTCGTGATTGCCTTTTATGATATCATTTGGTTAAGAATTTTCCCACTATCCATAGCTGCAAAAGGTACCTGATCTGGTTCTCTTCTAATTATTTTATAGCAACCTTTTATATTCAGGTCATCTATCTTAAGATTATTGTGGCATATGGTACAAGATGTTGGTCTAAACTTCATTTCTGACTTTTCTAGCTTTCCCAGTATTTCTTATTGAATAGGGTGGTGTCCCCCAAGTAGTTTATCTCTTGGGATTTATTGAACACTGGGTTATTGAGTTTGATTGTTTCTGATTGTCCCTCCTGTGGTCTGTTCCACTAATCTACTGTTGTTTTTTTAACCAGGACAAAATAGTTTTGATGGTTACTGTTGTATAATATAATTTGAGGCTTGGAAGTATTCTCTATTCCACTTTAATTTTAAAAGTGGATCCCTTCCTTTAGTTAGAGGGGTGGTTGATTATGGTTGTGGAATTTTGCTATCTGACTTGATCAATGTTTAGGTGGTTTTACCTGTTTTTGTTTTATTTTGTTACAAGAGAAGGCTCACAGGGTAGGGGGTCAGGGACAGAGGCTCCATAGGGTTGGACCTTAGATATCATCTAGTTCATCCCCAAGGTCACACAGCTCATAAATGGCAGAGCAAAGATTCATATCCAGGTCCGGTGACTTCAATTTCACTGCTGTAATATAATTGGGGGGGGGGGATGTGAAGGGGAGGGGAGGGAAAGGGGGGGATCCCATAAACAAAACTATTGTAAAATTTTTAAAAAAATTTATTAAGAACTTGATAACTATCAACAAACATGAACATTTCCTTACACAAAGAAAAAAAAGGATTGTATTATGAATATCTATGATGTATGACTTGGTTTTTTTTAAAGCAAATTAAATTTAACATGGTAGTTCCGAACCCTGCCCTGCTTTTATGTGTCCCCTTCTCTAGATCATCATCTCTCTGTCAAGAGATTGGAAGCATGTTTCGTCATCAGTCTTCTAGAGTTATGATTGGTCTTTACCTTGATCAGAATTCTTAAGTCTTTCAAAATAGTTGGTATCAATTGTTCTGGTTCTATTCACTTCACTCTAACAGTTTAGTCTTCCCAAGTTTTTCTAAATCTATTCCTATCATCAGTTCTTATAGTGCAGTAATATTCCATTATATTTAGATGCCATTATTTGATAGGCTATTCCCCAAATGATAGGCATTCACTTTGTTCCCAATTCTTTACTATAAATACTTTTGTACATACGGGCCTTTGCTCTCTTTTTTTAACCTCCTTGGCTGTATATTATGAGTGGTGGTATCAGTGGGTCAAAGTGTAACACAGTTTTCTGATTCTAACTGCATTGCTTTTGTGCAAAAACTTAAATTTTATGTAATCAAAATTGTCCATTTTGTCTCCTGTGATCTTTTTCATCCCTAGCTTGGTCAGAAACACTTTCCTTGTCCATAGTTCTGACAGATATCCCCTTCTATTCTCATCTAGTTTTTTTGTGATAAGACTTTTTATATTTAGGTCATGTATCCATTTAGAGCTTATTGTGTCAAATGGTGTGAAATGTTGGTATAAATCTAGTTTCTGAAAAACTTTTCAAGTTTTCCCAACAGTTTTTTTAATCAAATTGTTAATCTTTTGTTGAATAGTGAATCTTTGCTTTAAAAAAATTTTAAGGGGGTATATTTTAAAGTGGAGGCACAGATATCATAGAAAGCAATAACAAAGTTGAAAATAACGAACTAATTTATCCTGCTATCCTGTATCCACAAATTCTTTCCACTTTGTGACCACTTAGAATTACAAAATTGTAAGGAACCTCAGAAGTCATCTTGCCTAATATGTACCTAAAAAGGAATAGCTGAGTTACAACATTCTCCCACAAAAGTCCAGGTCTGTGTTTGAATGCCCCCAGTTATAGGGAACTCAAGTTTTTCTTTATTCAGCTAAAATCTCCAATTTATGCCAATCCCTTAGAGCCATAATTCCCTTTTAAATCTTCTCCATGTTAAACATGCCAAGAACTTTAACTGCTCTTTCTATGGCATAGTTTGTAGTCGCCTTAAGATTCTGATTAACCTCCTGGACAGTCCCCAGTTGGTCAGTGTCCTTAAAACAGGACTCCCAGAACTGAACACAATACTCTTAATGTGTTCTGAAGAGGGCTGAGAACAGCAGGATTATCACCTTCCTAATTCTTGGCACGAGAGTCTAAGATGGAATTTAGGGGGTGGTAGGTGTGTGTCATGATGCACCGTTGGCTCATAGTGAGCTTGTACTCTACTAAAATTCCAGGGATTTTGGTATAAGAAATACCTAACCAACCTTGTTTGGTACTTGTGTTACTGGTATTGTGAACCC